ATTTTTTTTCTGGATTCTTTCAAACGAAGTCACAAGTTGTTATGGTTTGTTTTTAAATTATGTAGCGGTGCTGCATTATTACTGAATACTCAAATTTGATGAGGTCATTAAAATGATGACAGTATCAATTACCATAGCAACCAACCCATCAATCCAGAGTCTGATTTATCCTATGGGCTGAGATCTTTTATAGCTCTTGAAAACTCAGGTGCAATGCAAATCAAACATTTAGCTGCTGAAAGAGTTGGAGGCCAGACATCCATCAACTCTGAGTGGTATTGAATTGTTGTCAGTAGTCAATAATGAAAAGCACAGGCCATTTCTTTGAAACTACCCAGGAGTTAAAAGACCTGAGTGTGTGTACACAACTTCACCAGCACGCCTCTATGTCTGTCCTCATTAGACTACATTCTGAGAATTGATTGGATAAGAAGGAAAAGTGCCCACCATAGGTAATAATGTTCTCCTTCATTGGTAAATTTCTTTTAAGTCTCACCCATGGAAATGATGTCTTTGTCTCCCAGTAATTAATAGGAACCAAAGCAGAGTGAGAAGACAGAAACTAAAAGAATGAATAATCACCAGCACCATGAACAAAATGTGTAACTAAAAATATATGAGGCACAGGTAGAATACACTTTATCTCGCCCTTCTTTGACAGGCACATAAATCTCTTGTTGCTTCCCTCATCCAAAGCCAAGAGCTAAAAATACGAGATGGCACCTGTGTTGTTAAATACTGTTTTAAGCCAGCAGTGACTTGAGGGAAACAGTGTATTTTTGGCTGAGCAGACTGGACTGTCCCAACAGAAAACATGATGGGGTTGGTGGGGTGGGAATCTAGATTGGAAAAGCTTTTTCTAAAGCATACCCTGAGTTCAGTCTTTTCCGTATGTGATTGCAGACAAGGACATAATATAAATTATTCATGGTATAAATTATTCACTGAGATGCTCTGCTCCCCAGAACTTACTCTGCGTCAGCCCTGAAAATCCTTTGGGCACTGAGGACCAGGAAAATAGAAGCTCAAAATGTCCAACACTGTTGGTCCTGAAACACAACTCTTGAATCTTCAAGTCAGGGATTATTTTTATCAAGTAATCTTATTCCTGGCAGTCCAGTGGTTACGACTTTGCCTTCCAGTGTAGGGGGTGCTGGTTCAATCCCTGGTTGGGGAGCTAAGATCTCACATGCCTTGTGGCCAAAAAACTGAAACCTAAAATAGAAACAAATGTAACAAATTCAATAAAATCTTAAAAAATGGCTCACATTAAAAAAAATCTTTATGAAAAAGTAATGTTATTCCTCTAAATGTTTAGAATAAAAAACTCTAATGGGATCAGCTAGGTAAAAGATTTGTTCATCCATTAAATGTTTGGAGCTCCTGACACATGTCAGCACTTTTCTAGACTTGGGATTCAGAAAGGAACAAGCCCCAGATTCCTCCTTCATGGTGCTTACATTCTTGTCGAGAAAGTAATAGCAGATATGGGGACTTATTTGGGATTATATATAAAAAAAAAAGAGAGGTGTCAAGGACAATTCCAAGAAGTTCAACTGTGCAACTCCATGAGTGATGGTGCCATTGAATGAGATAATGAAAACTGTAGAAGATGCACTGGAAGGATGAGGATTCATTTGGGAGATGTTCAGTTTGAAAAATATTTTATCCATGTAATAGGAGATGTTAAGTACAAACTTGGATATATGGCCTTAGAGTCAGAGGGAAGACTCTTGAAAGGCACTAGTAAATAGATCGCGCTTAAAGCCACAAGAGTCAAACCAAATCACCCAGGGAAGGAGAGTAGGAGAAGAGAGAGTTCAACTGAGCCTTGAGAGTCTAGCATTAAGAGTAGGGAGAACGAAGAGGAATTTTTAAGAGAAGTTAGGAGAAATTCAAGAGCAAAAGGTGTTCCCAGCAGTAGCATTGATCAGACATGGCTGATGGCAGGTGAGCATGAGGTGTTCATGACAAGGATGTGTTTGTGTCAGGTGACAAGACAGGCACAGGGGATGGGCTTGGAAATGGGGTCTCGTTTAGGCAAACAGCCATGCTGCCTATGGACCACTGAGTCGCTGAAAGATGGAAAAATAATAAGAACGCAAAAAGGAACAGGTAAGTCAGAGNACAGGCACAGGGGATGGGCTTGGAAATGGGGTCTCGTTTAGGCAAACAGCCATGCTGCCTATGGACCACTGAGTCGCTGAAAGATGGAAAAATAATAAGAACGCAAAAAGGAACAGGTAAGTCAGAGGGTCTCAGACTGACATACCGGCTTCTCCTGCATGTACCTACACTCCACTTGTGAACAAAACACAGCTTTAAGAATATGGCACAGGGACTTCTTCGTGGCCCAGTGGTCAAGACTCCACGCTCCCACGCAAAGGGCATGGGTTTGATCCCTGGTCAGGGAACTGGAGCCTGGTTGCCCTGGAACAGAGTGCAAATAAAGACCTCGTGTGCTGGAACTAAGACACAGCACAGCCAGATAAAAAATAAATCTAAATATTTTAAAAAGAATATGATACACACGGTGGAAAGGTGTTGTTTTTTTTTTTTTTAAATACAAACCCATGTATTAAATGTTTCTTCACTTTTTTCTGGGTGAAAAGATCAAGACCTATGACTTGAACACAGTGAAAAGCAACCTTGACAGGACGCACAGGACTTAGCCAGCGTTAGCGGCCTGAGAGCCTGTGTTGATGGTGTTTCTGTTGGAACCCTGCCGTCTGCTCCACCTTCTCCCACAGAATGAACATCCTCCGTGAGCAGCCGATAGTGTAATTAAACGCCAACACCCGGGGAGGGGGCCCAAGTAGCCACACATTAAAGGCGGGAGGAGGGCTCCCTGCCTGGAGGACTAATTCCCACCTGCATATGATTCAGAATATATATTTTTAAAATTCTTCAGTCTGGGTAAACCAGGTTGTTGTTCAGTCGCTCAGTCGTGCCAGTTCTTTGTGACCCCATAGACTGCAGGACGCCAGGCTTCCCTATCCTTCACCATCTCCCAGAGTTTGCTCAAACTCCTGCCCATCGAGTCGATGATGCCATCCAACCATCTCATCCTCTGTTTCCCCCTTCTCCTGCCCTCAGTCTTTCCTAACATCAGGGTCTTTTCTAATGAGGCAGCTCTTCACATCAGGTGGCCAAAGTTTTGGGAAAATCAGGAGGTTTATTTTTTATTATTATATTTAATTTTATTGGAGTGCAGTTGCTTTACAATACTGTGTTAGTTTTTACTGTCCAGCAAAATGAATCAGCTATATGTATACATACATCCCCTCATTTTTTGATTTCCTGCCCCTTTGGGTCATCACAGAGCACTGAGGAGAGTTCCCTGTGCCATATGGGAGGTTATCTCTTTTATTCACACAGGGGTGCTGTGAATATTAGAGTTAAATTACAGAGATTCACATATGGTCCTTTTGTGATAAATGCTCACTTAACATGGATCTTATTATGATAATGAACATGGCTGTTAAAAAGAAGCATAGTGTGCTGGTTAAAACAGTATCTGGAGTTAGACTTCTCATAGCCAAATCTTAGGTCTTCACCTTACAAAGTGAGTGAACTTGGATGCGTTCCATAATGGCTGCCTATTCCAGGTACCACATTTGTAAACCAACAATACCACTTCTGGGTATTTATCCTGGAGAGAAGAAAACATGGGTTCCCACCTGTGCACAGATGTTCATAGCAGTTTTCACTGTAATAGCCACAGACCAGAAACAATTTAATGTCCATCAAAAGGAAGGATGAATAAACTAAGGGACAGACTAAGCAATAAAACAATGGTTACTGAACACAAAACAACTTTGGATGGATCGTAAGAGTATTATACTGATTTTTTTTTTTAAGCTAATCTGAAAAGGTTACATACCGTATGATTAAAATGAACAAACTGTTGCAGGAAGGGAGATGCCTTCCAGGGCCTAAGAGCGGGCTCTGGTCTAACCCTTGGAAATAAATTGTATGAGGAGATGCACGTGCTGACAAAACAAGAGACTTTATTGGAAAGGGGAACATACGTGAAGAAGCGAAGGGTAAGGGAACCCAAGAGGACTGCTCTGCCACATGGCTCTCAGTTCAGTTCAGTTCAGTCACTCAGTCGTATCCGATTCTTTGCAACCCCATGGACTGCAGCACTCCAGGCTTCTCTATCCATCACTAATTCCTGGAGCTTGCTCAAACTCATATCCATTGAATCGGTGATGCCATTCAACCATCTCATTCTCTGTCATCCCCTTCTCCTCCTGCCTTCAATCTGTCCCAGCATCAGGGTCTTTTCCAGTCAGTCAGCTCTTTGCATCAGGTGGCCAAAGGATTGGAGTTTCAGCTTTGGCATCAGTCCTTCCAATCAATATTCAGGACTGATTTCCTTTAGGATGGACTGGTTGGATCTCCTTGCAGTCCAAAGGACTCTGAAGAGTCTTCTCCAACACCACAGCTCAAAAGCATCCATTCTTTGGCACTTAGCTATTTTTATAGTCCAACTCTCACATCCATACATGACTACTGGAAAGACCATAGCTTTGACTAGATGGACCTTTGTCAGCAAAGTGATGTCTCTGCTTTTTCATATGCTGTCTAGGTTGGTCATAGCTTTTCTTCCAAGGAGCAAGCGTCTTTTTATTTCATGGCTGCAGTCACCATCTGCAGCGATTTTGGAGCCCCCAAAAATAAAGTCAGCCGCTGTTTCCACTGTTTCTCCATCTATTTGCCATGAAGTGATGGGACCGGATGCCATGATCTTAGTTCATAATCTTGGCTTTAAGATGACTCTACAATGAAGCTACTCTAGACCACTCCTGCCCACACACATAGTTTTCTCTTTTGAATTCCTTTCGCCACTCAGTTTATTGCTAAAGTTTTGTCTTATGTCACTTAAATATTTAATAGGAGTATGCCTTTCCTCAAGCTTCTTTTGAACACCATATAGTATCTACACAGAACTATACATATAAGTACTGGTGAATGGATGAATGACTAGATNAGGCATGAAAGATGGCCAGAAGATAACATTCCATGGTGAAGGAGACCAAGAACCAGGACTGGAGCCAGGAGATATTATCATTGTTTTAGATCAGAAGGACCATGCTGTTTTTACTCGACGAGGAGAAGATCTTTTCATGTGTATGGACATACAGCTGGTTGAGGCATTGTGTGGCTTCCAGAAGCCAATATCTACTCTTGACAACCGAACCATAGTCATCACTTCTCATCCAGGTCAGATCGTCAAGCATGGAGATATCAAGTGTGTGCTAAATGAAGGCATGCCAATTTATCGTAGGCCATATGAAAAGGGTCGCCTAATCATTGAATTTAAGGTAAACTTTCCTGAGAATGGCTTTCTCTCTCCTGATAAACTCTCTTTGCTGGAAAAACTTCTGCCTGAGAGGAAGGAAGTAGAAGAGACTGATGAAATGGACCAGGTAGAATTAGTGGACTTTGATCCAAATCAGGAAAGACGGCGTCATTACAATGGAGAAGCATATGAGGATGATGAACATCATCCTCGGGGTGGTGTTCAGTGTCAGACCTCTTAGTAGGCCTGTGAATAACACTCACTGCTGGGGTTTTATTGCAGTAGTGATTGAGTGAAGGACTATAATCATAATATGCTCACTACTTGTTTTTGTTTTAATATTCAACTATAGCAGTGTTTAAAAGTTAAATGAAGAATAAACTTGAATATAAAAGCTCTGAAAAAAAAATTATAGTGATGGAGAACAGGAGTCAGAGTTGGCGAGAAGGTAGATCATAAAAAGTAACACTGGGGAGTTTCCTGGGTGATGGGCTGTTTCTGTTTCTTAACTGTGCTGGTGGGTCTATGAATCTGTAGATATGATTAAATTTTGTAGAACTATTCACATGACTTCCCTGGTGGCTCAGCGGTAAAGAATCTGCCTGCCATACAGGAGCTGCAGGAGATGCGGATTCCATCCCCGGGTCAGGAAGATCCCCTGGAGAGGGAAATGGCAACCCACTCCAGTATTCTTGCCTGGATAATCCCAAGGACAGAGGAGCCTGGCAGGCTACAGTCCATGGGGTCACAGAGCATGGACATGACTAACTGACTTTCACTCTTCACTTAAGATCAGTAGCCAGCTCCCTGTTTTCTGCTGGGGTACACCTCGGGTAGATGTCTTCATGTACAAAGTGACATGGGTATATCATGCAACTAGGTTTGTGGCTTGAATAAGATAGACTCAGGTGATGTGCATTTCCCTGAGAGTTAGTGTAACTTTATCTTCTTCCANCACTTAGAGCAAAGATAAAGAAATGAAGTAATATTGGATTGTAACCTGAAGTATAAAATAACTGTCCAGGAGCCCGAGTTGACATAAATAAATGATTGAATAAATTAGTAAATGGAGAGAAGAGACAAATTTTCCATGCAACAAGAATTTCGCATGGAAAACTTACGTAGATATTCTGCCCTCAAGGAGGATGAGTGTTACCCCTTCCCCAGCTGCTCAGGTGTGGGCTGTACATAGTGATTTCATTTCAAGGAGGACAGCCTGGAAAAGGAAGGAAATGAATAAATTTACATCAGAGACCCCAGCCAGGTGATCAAGGTCCGTGTCAACAGTGCTAAGTCACTTTGGTATATACACCACATTGGTGATGTATACCCTTGGTATGACATGATATAAATGATGCTTTACCTTCGTGGTCTAAGTCCCCCAAAATTATAACCCCTGTGTAAACATGAGAAAAGAATATCCAACAAATTCCACTCACAGGTCATGCTGCAAAATACTGACAAAATCATCAAAGTCATCAAAAGTAAGCAAGTCTGTCACAGCATAGAAAACAAATAGAGTTACCAAAGGGAAAGGGGGGTTCTTGTTAGAAACCTGTAATATGAAAAAGAATACGGGTACATACATATAGCTGAGTCACTTTGCTGTACACCAGAAACTACCACAACATTGTATGCCAACTATACTTCAGTTTTAAAAAGTGAATATGGGGGAATTCCCTGGTGGTTCAGTGGTTAAGACTGTGCTTCCGCTGCAGGTTCGAGCCTTGGTCATTGGAGCTAAGATCCAACATGCCTTGTTGACAAAAAACCAAAACGTAAAATAGAAGCAATATTGTCACAAGTTCAATTAAGACTTTAAAAACGGTCTACATTAAAAAAGAAAAAATACAGTGGACATTCATGTCCATGTTTTTTGTTGGACATAAGCCTATGTTTCTCTTGTGTATACACCTGGGAGCAAAAATGCTGGACTCGAAGGTAAATGCAGGTAAGCTTTCCCAGATCCCACCAAATGAACTTCGGCTTTCACAGAGGCTGCATCTCTCCACAGTATTGGCTTTAGATCAACAAGAGTGTTAAGTTCTGAGTTTTTTTCCCCTGACTTTAAACCGCAGTAGTCACTGCTCTTGGTAAAATATTGTCTATCACAGCATGACTCTTTGTGGGCTGCAGAGTAGCCTGGGTACCATCCATCCTGTGAGGCTCAGAAGGAGAAAACCTGCCCATCCATTCTTCACTGCTTCCTCTCGCTGGAAATCCTGGTCATCCGTTCCGCACAATCGATCGACTCTTTCCTCGTCGCTTTATTTTGAGTCTCTATCCTATTTCTACATCGCCCAAACATTCGTTCTCAGTGCCCTGTGCTTTGCTACAGAAAACAAAAATCCCTGGGTGAAAGCAAAACAAAAAGGAAATGAAAGAAAAATCTACAGACACATCGCATGTGGATTTCAATCTTTATAACCTCCCTATTTTGTAATAGATCTCTATCAGAAATCTGCGAATCCCCTGCCAAATGGCCAGAGTTCATGTTTCCGGTGTGCTCAGCACTCCCTGGGGGTTTGCATTGCCAGAGAAGATGCCTCATGCACTCATCTGCACCATTAATACATCACGCAGGATGGGACAAAGTGTCTTTCGCAGGCTCACCAACTGCACCGCTGGCTGAGAGCAGGGAACCTTAATTGGTTCTAAAACAGGCAAATTAAGGACATGCTGAGTCTTCCCTCTCAGAGATCAATCCAAACACTTTCACAGAAGCATAGAGATGCTCCTTGGGGTGAAATAAATGTTAATGTTAAAAGAAAGTCAAAATATCCCCCCTTCCCTCCACAAGAAGCTCAAATCAGTTTCAGTTTATAATGCTTAAAGAGAAAAATGACATTCTGGTTTTATACAGACTAAAGTCAATACTTGGGGCTCAGCAGAAAGGGTGCAGGGATGTGTTGGCTTAGCTTTGCCACTGCAGCAGCGCTGTGAACACGATGGTGGGGCTGGCTCTGGAGTAAAAGATGTCAACTCTTTTTTTTTTGGTTGCATTACAAAGCTTGTGGGATCTTAGTTCCCAGACCAGGGATTGAACCTGGGTCCCAGCAGTGAAAGTGCCAAGTCACTGGACCACCAAGGAAGTCTCCAAAGATGTCAACTCTTCAAAGACTATAAGACATTCTCTTCTGTCTGGGACTTAGTGGCCATTAATTTAATAGCAGCCCCAGGCTAGAGTGAAATTATAGATACAGTTCATGGGGCTTCTCAGAAAATAGAAATATCGTAGAGGTCTCCTGAAGACAAAAATATGAAAAATATGGTCTGTACCCTAGCTGCTGGTCTCCTATGGCTGTTACCTGAAAGAATACTAAATATATAAATATTAAAGAGTTCTCCTCCTTTATCTCTATCCTACCGCTCCATCTATCTATCCCCCTCATCTGCTTATGCAAACTCTGTCAATCAAAAGTGAGAATAATTTATAAAGCTCTTCGTAGATTTTCGATTGAGACACGGTTGATGCCCGTAACATCTGCGTTACTCAAGTCAACCGTATATAATAAAATGTCATTCAGCCATGAAAAGACAGAAATCGTGCCATTTGTGACACTATGGATGAACCCAGAAGACGTATGTTAAGTGAAATAAGACAGACATAGAAAGACAAGTACTGCATGATCTCATTTATATTGAAATCTAAGAAGTCCAACTTAGAGAATAGACGGGTTGCTGCCAGGGACTGAGGCTAGAGGAAAGATGGGAAGACGCTGGTCAAAGGGTATAAACTTTCAGAATACAGAAGGTATTCTGAGTATTTCTTTTGTTTCAGAAGAAAACTTTCTTCTTCCTTCAGAAGAATGCAGACTTACAATTTCAAATAAATTCTGGGGTTCTAATGTACAGTAGGGTGACTAGAGCTAATAATATTGTAATACTATATTGTATACTTGAAATTTGCTAAGAGAGTAGATGTTAAATGTTCTCTCCCCACCCCAAAAAAAGGTAACCATGTGAGGGGATGGATAAAGTCAATTAGCTTAATTGTGCAATTTTTTACAATGAATATATCAACTTATCACATTTTATACCTTTAAATATATGCAATTTTAATTTGTCAATTATACTTAAGTAAGGCTTAGAGGACTAGTGCTACTGCTACTGCTAAGTCACTTCAGTCATGTTCAACTCTGTGCAACCCCAACCTTGGGATTCTCCGAGCAAGAACACTGGAGGGGGTTGCCATTTCCTTCTCCAGTGCATAAAAGTGAAAAGAGAAAATGAAGTCGCTCAGTCATGTCTGACTCTTCTCGACCCCATGGACTGCAGTCTACCAGGCTCCTCAATCCATGGGATTTTCCAAGCAAGAGTACTGGAGGGGGGTGCCATTGCCTTCTCCATTAGAGGACTAAGAGAAGTTAAATTTTAGGGGGGGGGATTCAGAATTCATTGACTTATTTATTTATGTACTGGCTAAGCAGTGTGGTTTGTAGGATCTTAGATCCCAGGTGAGAGATTGAACTCTCACCCTTAGCAGTGGAAGCATGGAGTCCTAACCACTGGCTAGCCAGGAAAATCCCCAGAATATTTTACATAATGATAGAATGCTGAAAAAGAACTCCAAGGCACACATGTTGTCTATTTTTATTTTATTTTTTAAGCATATTGTCTCTTTTTGAAGGGGCTGGGTCTCAAATGAGCAGATGGGGCATGGTCTGCTGTCAACACTGCAGAGAGACTGAAAAAGAAACAGGACATGCAGATCTTACTGTATAAAGACTTGCTCGTGACTGACTGACACTCTTGCTGTCTTCTTCCTCCACTGACGGTGACCCTGCCTGACCCACAAGACAGAGAATGAGCAGCTCAGACAGGCATCAAGGGCGACTGCTACACATGGACCGACAGGGCATGGCTGTTGTGAGCTGCAGGGAAAGACACGGAAGGATTCCCTGAGGCCAGCACAGCCGCCCAGCTGTGCGTGCAAAGGACAAGGCTAGAGGCCAACAGAGCAAGACGGACACAGCAACTGTAGGATCCACCTTCCTGGGAGGCTCTCACTTCTTGTGGCTGGACATCCGTCCTCAGAGGACCATTGTGCCACTTCCTACACATCAGCCCTATTCTTACTAAGGGCTTCCACGATCCTCTTTGATGGAGTTGTCACTGGCCATGTCAACTGCAACCATATCCACTCTATGAAAACTTCAGAGAATGCACTGGAATGAAAAGACATCCATGGACACGTCCCTGACTGCATGCTAAACATGGCTCACACAACTTCTGGAACTAGTCTCCTGCGGGACTGCGATGTCACAGACTCCAGTTACCATTTTCAGTGGGAGTAGGTCTACAAAGGTAATTAATTTTCTTCAGACCCACTTCAGAGCTGGGAAAGTTCTCAGCAGTTCCCTGAAGCTTAGCACCAAAGCTGCCCATCCCACTGG